TGCAGTAGTTCAATGGCGGAGTCTACAAGTTTGAGCTTGCCCCGATAATTTTTGCTTGGACTGCAAAAATTTCACACGCATAATTAATCATAATGGCTTTAAAAGATTTTGCCTATGTTTGCGATTCTAAGACGTAACATTCAGCTTTCCGAGGCCGGTTCAACTTGGTATACTTATCGACGACTGGTTTGGCGTTTGAACATCATGGCGGATGCAGGCGGAGAGAAGCCATTTTTGGTGGAGTATGCTCCGCAGGGAAGGGCCAAATGTAAAACTTGCAAGCAACAGATTGAGAAGAGTTCGACTCGAATTGGAAAGTTGGTTTCAAATCCGTTCAGCGAAGACGGTGGGATGATGAAACAATGGTACCATGTTCCCTGCATTTTTGATGCATTGTCCCGGGCTCGAGCGACAACGAAGAAAATCGACGGCACTGATGATTTGGATGGATTCGGCAACCTCAAGGATGACGATCAAGCGAAAATCGTAAGCCTAATAAAAGGTTAGTGAGTATACATGTCCGGAATGGGGGAACTGCACTTAAATCATCCTCAGTAAAATAGGCGTTGGTGATTTTGCCCAGAAATTCCATATGAATTGTAAGCTAGACTGCGAGCAGTCTTTCTTTTCCTCGAAAACCGCGGGGAAGAACACAAATCATGTAAGCCTTTGAGCGTGACTGTGAGCGTGACGTGCGAGTGGCAAGTGGCGAGCTACTAGTAGTGCGGGCATTAGAAGACAAGGGAAAAGACTGACTGTCATACACTGTACAACATTTTGGATGCCTGGCACTCTGGTGATGGAGTAATTCTATTGGTCAGTCTAAGAAGTTGTGACGTACATCTGTCAGTAACCTTTATAAGTGACATGTAGCACACGCCAAACTCGGTTGTAATGTTTGTCTCCTTTGGTGTGACTCCTACGGTTAGTGACATTTGCCAAGTGCACTACTGTTGAATTTTGATCTTGTGACCTCTTTATTAGTTTTATTCTTCACATTAGTTTTTGAAGGACTATGGTATTAGGAGGCCTTTAAAGAAGAACCATTGGTCACATCTTACCGGTTAAAGCTTCAATAGATTTGCATAAAAATTAAACACCAAATTGTCATATTAAAAAAAGGGTAGAGGTGTCATTGATGAGACTTGTCAATGTAGCATCCAAAATGTTGTATGAAACCATTGCGGTCTCTCATTTTGCTCATCTTCTGATGCCCGCACAACTAGCAGCTGGTGGCATCGCTGCTTGCATGTCACACTTGCATGCTTACTTGTTTAGTGTTCTTCCCCATGGATTTTCAAGGAAAAGAGAGACTGCTCACAGCCTAACTGTAAGCTTACTCTCATAACAGCTCCTCAGCATGTAGCTCTACAAAAGTCTGAAACATCTGGTTTCTCTTTTGCTATCCAATAAAACAATGCAATCAACCAATCAGAGGCACTATGTGGAACTTTGTTGTAAAACATCATGTTATCATTTCTTATAGGGGTGGGGCAATTCAGTATGTGGAGTGAAATTTCTGGTGTTGTGCTGTTCAAGAAAATATCCATACCCCTCCCACAAAGATTTATGGTGTGATCCCCTCCCCTTCTCCAGCCCAATCCCCATTTCTGAATAATCCCCCTTGGGCTGGGTATGGATATTTTCTGGAACCACACATTCCCTAAGCAAAAAAAAAAAGGAAAAGAGAAAACCAAAAAGAAACCATGAATGGGAATTATATCTACATGTAAACCTGAGTGGTCATTTTTGACAGAAACATTGAATATGTGTGATATTAATTTTCTGTTTAGATCTAGCAACCAAAAGCTCTTCTTCACCAAAAAAGAAAGCTGTCCAAGCTACTCTTCCCTTTGGTAAACCAAAGACCTCTGCTGCGTCAAAGTCGACTTCAGTGGATATTAAAAAAGCTGCCGGTTCTGGTGATGGTGGTGACAGTTCTTCTCCAGTCAAGGGTGGTAATGATGAGAATGGCAAGGACAATTCTTTTAGAGAGTTCCGAAGGATCTGTATTAAACTTGCTGAGGAACCAAGTTACAATGCTAAGAGCAAGATTTTGTCTGATTTCTTTGAAAAGGGCAGTTCTGGAGGTATGGACAACTTAATGAGAGATATGCACAGTACATGTGTAGCTGTAGGTTGAAGTCTACGGTGTTCTTGATTTTTGTCTTCATCTCCCCAAGAAGACTTGTGACTAGACAAGTAAGTGGATACATGTAACATGTTTGACAATAAAGTGAAGAAAAAAAATCAGTTTTCTCTGTGAGTGACCTTGAGTGAGTCACAACTTTCAAAAGTAAATAAATGTGTTTTACTTTACTTGTATCCTGGTATAAACACAGTGGTCTTGTTTCCCAGATCCATTTACCGGGGACATTACATTATGGGTGAAGATGTTACTGCCAGGGGTAAACAAGAGGGTGTACAACTTGCAGAGCAAACAACTCGTTAAACTCTTCAGCCAGGTAAACAGTGGCACGCTGTACATGTTCAACTGTACATATTTTGTAAATTTACAGTGCTCCGTACCTTACCGTTGCCAATTAGGATTGTTTTTATTGGTTTTTGGTAACTTTTTGACATCTTTTTGGCAACTTCTGTTGGCTTCCATTTGGAACTGCCAATCAAACTGTGACAACTCTCTGCCAGTTTCAATCACAGGCTGAGACTTTTGAAATAACATAATACAACTGTATACATCTGTCAGAAACCCCAAGCAAGTATTTTATTAATAAGGTTGCCCCCAGCAAAGAAGTTAATATTATTAATATGCATTTACTACTAGATTTTTGGCTGCAGTCAAGATGACATGATGACAGACTTAGAACAGGTAACTTTACATGTACAGTGGTCAACAACAACAGCAAAAAATTTGTAATATTTAATTTACAAAACATATTATGTCCAGTAGCTAAGATTTGTTTTTTATTTTAATTATTTCAGTTTAGAGCCACTAATTATTTTGTAAGATGCAGTTTTGTTTCAAATGGGTCGGTGTAGTGGTTAATGCTGTTGTTGGATAGTTAAGCCTTGGTCAAACGGCGCATGGTAGTCGATGATAATTGATGATAGTCAAAAAAATAAAAGCCTGGCTAAACGGTGCATGATAGTTGATGATAGTTGAATGATTCTCCCTGAATTTCACTGACTATCATCAACTATCATTGACTATCGTGAGCTGTTTGACCAAGGCTTTATAAATTTAATGCAACTGTTGGCTAGTTATGTACTTAAACCTTGTTTCTTGGTTCGTGTTTCAAGATAATACACGTATGTACTTTGTCTTTGTTCACTGCAGGGTGATGTGTCAGAGACTGTGAGCACATTTCATGAGAGCAGTTCTTTGATAAAACCTCTCAAGAAAAGTTTACTTTCTTTACAAGACGTAGGTGATATTTTCTTTCATTAGTTACTGTGAAGATTTCTCTGTTAAAAGAAACCACTTACATGTTCTTATTGGAAAGCCTTCAGGGTAATGATGTACACATAGAACCTTTCCTCTAGTCAAAAGGAAATATGAAAATTATTAATAGCTAATAATAATATTATTTATCCCTTATCTTCTATAAAAGGTTGATGCTTTTCTTGATAAACTCAAGACTGTGACAAAAGAGGATGACCAGCAAAGGGAACTTGCTAAAATCACAAGGAGGTAGTTCAAATTGTGAGGTTATTATTTTAAAATAACTATTTTTTACATTAAATGCAGACAACATTAATTTAATGTACAATATATTTTTCTGTGTTCATAGCATATTTTTTTCTATGTGGATAAAGTGCAAAATTAATGTAGTTAGAAGTGTAAGCAAGATGCTGTAGCTAGAAAAAATATGACAGAGGCAATGTCCATGATTTAATTCTCTTACTAGGTACAAATATTTAGCAGTGTTTGACTTTCCTCCTTCAAAAAGAAAACCAACAAACTTGACAAAAATGACTGAGGCCAGTGTGTCAGTCGGCCTCATATTGGCTACAGCCTAGGTAAATAATAATAATTATTATTGTGTATTGCAGTGTAACTATGTAATTTGTACACGTTCGTGGTTTGAACGAGTTCTTAGCTCCTTGATGAAACGTTTTAGAATAATTGATTCATCGATTGATTTTCTTAAAAAGTGACACTGACATTCTTTTTTCAGGTGCACTGCCAATGACTTGAAATTTGTCATTCGTCTGATCAAACATGATCTTCGAATGAACACTGGAGCAAAACATGTGTAAGATTTGCAATTCAAGCTCACATGTTAAGCCCCGGCCAAACGATCGCAACATGTCAACGCAATATATCGCAACATTGTTGGACACAACATGTTGCACGCGTTTGGCCACCCTGTTGTGACGTGTGGCGATAAGTTGGTTGTTGTTGGCTCGAATTTGACCATTATCAAACTTGGGCCAACGAGACACAACATCTCGCAACACGTCGCAACAGGGTGGCCAAACGCGCAACATGTTGTGCCCAACAATATTGGGATACATTGCGTTGACATGTTACGATCGTATGGCCTGGGGTTTATGATAATTTAAGTGCTTCAAGCAAAAAAGTAATAATCCATTGCAGTGGAAATTTGGAGACTTACATGTAAGTGATATGTCAGAACAAAATGTACATTGTTTAGTCCCAAAAAATACCCCCCACCCCACCCCTCTGGAAATTCCAATTAAACTTCAGACATTTCTTTAAATATTTTGGTCTTATTCAGCCCCCAACCCCTCAGGAAATTCCAATCCCTTCCATTAGCTGTATTTTCTGGAACTACACATTTCTATTTATGTCTGCACTCACTAGTTTTGTGTTGATTTCTATGTGTGTTTATTTCATTCTACAGAGTTTAAATATACAGGTACTATGTACATGTAAATGTGATATTTTTCTTATCAGTAGTGAAATGAACTACAGTACGTGCATTGGTTAGAGAGAATTTAGTACGACTTATTTATATAAGTTGCATGTATTAGTCTTTTTGCTATTGGCAATACACAGTGTATCTAAATGATTCACTTACAGATGCTTCAGCTAGTATTTAGTACGTGATCTTCAGTAGTTGAATCTCATTGGATATAATTTAGCTCTTATTAAGCGAGAAGGAGGTCTGTATGGGAGAATCTTGACTGAGGTCGGGAGTACAGACCGAATGCGGTGAGGTCTGTACACATGACCGAGGTCAAGATTCTCACATACAGATCGACTAAGCTCGGTTAATAAGATGTTTATTATATGGCAAACAAAAATAAATTAATTCGTTGAATGTCTCTTTGTTATGCATTCTCACAAGTTTCTTTATGTGAAGCATTGTTAGTCAAACAAAGGACATTACATTTCTGGGAATGAAAAAGGCCTCAAAGCAAAATTTGCATGTTGTTAAAACGTCCTGCCGATCAATGAAAGCTATCATATATCGAGTTTTTGATCACTTCGCAAATTCACCAACAAACTACCGTTTATTAACACTTGCTTGATCTTAAGCTACCAAAAATTGGAAGAATATTGAAACAGTCGCTTGAACTCCCAATTTTAACACGTGAACGTAATGTTTTTACAAGTAAAGATCTGTGTTTCGGCACGTGTCAGCAAGTCGTTTGCAAAATGTTTGTCTGAATGAAGCGTTCTGAAGATCCTCTTCGAAATAATGATATCTCCGGTTATATTTGACACAGATCATTCATTCTAATGGTAAAATAATCTTTCCTGGACGAAAAAATTGTTTATTAAAGTTTCTATGGTGCGCCGCTCACGTTTAGTTATTTTTTCTTCAAGGAAAAGTTCTGTGTTTCGCCACGCGTCGGCAAGTCGTTTGCGAGATGGAAAGTGTCTATTGTCTGAACCGTTCTGAAAATCTTTGTTGAAAAAATTACATCTCCAGTTTTATTTGACACAAATCGTTCATTCAAACGGTAAAATGCTCTTTCTTTAGCCAAATAATTGTTTATCAAAGTTTCTATGGCTCGCTGTTCATGTTTAGTTAATTTTTTCTTCAAGGAAAAGTTCTGTGTTCAGGCATGCGTCGGCAAGTCGCTTGTGAGATGGTTATCGTTTGAAGCGTTCCGAAGACCTTGCCGAAAAAATTATATCTCCAGTTATATTTGACACAAATTGTTCATTCAAATGGTAAAATGTTCTTTCTTTAGCCAAATAATTGTTTATCAAAGTTTCACTGGTGCGTCGCTTATGTTTAGTTATTTTTTCTTCGAGGAAAAGTTCTGTGTTTTGCCATGCGTCGGCAAGTCGCTTGCGAGAATGTTTATTGTTTGAAGCGTTCCGAAGACCTTGTCGAGAAAATTATATCTCCGGTTATAATTATCTGACACAAACCGTTCCAAATGGTAAAATACACTTTCCCTGACGAACGAACTGTTTACTGAAGTTTCTATCATGCGCCGCTCACATTTTGTTATTTTTAATTTTCTTCAAGGAAAAGTTCTGTGTTTCGTCACACGTTTCCAAGTCGCGTGCTTGCTTGGACCGTGTTTACTTTGTGTCGAAAAAAAATTATCATTTGGTTGTGTTTGCTCCATGAGGATGGGATTGTTGAAGCGTTTAGGTTCTATTTGACAA